TAGGAAAAAGCACTTTAAAGTACGCAGAGTTATTTATTTGCATTTTATTTTTATGTATACATTTATAAACCTTATAAATTAATGCATACAAGCTGCATTATAGTGCCCTCTAGTGAGAAATTATTTTGCATGTTAAATGTTGTAAAACCAAATTATGGACATATATGAAAGTTCAAATTTAGTACAAATTGAACACAATGTCTCCCTTTGATGAGATGCTTATTCAGCCTTGTTTCACAGGCAAGTAACCTGATTAAAAGCCAGAAACTCTGCTACCATTTATCTAGACAAACATCTTAGAATAGTATTTCTTCCAACAATTATTTTACTGTTTCCTTTATTACTGGAACCGTGGAAATTCACCTATGCACCAATAATGCAAAACTACAATTAGAAGAGTTGTAGATTTATTTACAGAACAAATCACTATAGTGCTGCTGGCATTCTGAACAGTCAGTAGGAAAGAAGCCTCTATAGCAGTGTTTCTCAACCTTGGCAACTTGAAGATGTGTCAACTTCAACTCCCAGAGCCAGCATTAAACATATACTGCTCTACAGTATATGTTTAATGCTTTATAAATACAGATCATAATGCTGTAAAATCATAAAACCACTAAAACAAAAAACCTGAATCTTCAATCTGAAAAATGCAGCACACTGGATAATGTAATAGAAAAATACATTTATGAAACATTAATGCAGCCCAGGACAAGAAAGCAGAGGATCTATTTAAAATATTATAGTGGCCTGAAATGATGAAAAAACATATGTTCCTAAAGATGCTCCTGGAAGGCAGAATCTTATAAGCTTCTTATTCTGTGCATCAAGTCATGAATTCAACAAGTCCACAATAATAAGAAGAGTTAACAGAATCAGTGTAACATAGTAATAAGAATACAGTTCTCTGTGAAATAAAAGCAACCTAGAGATAAAGTTACCAGAATCTAATTGTTTAGGAGAGGTGGACAGAAGCATACATAAGGATCTACTGATAGATCTTTGACTTACATGAAGTAGACAGGTAAGAAGCTAAAGATTTTAACAATCACAGAGGGGATAACCAGAACTTTGAGTAACATACTGATTGGCTACCCAAAACAAGTTCTTGGGTTCACAAGTCCTTCTAAGTGCATATCTTTTGCACTTGCCTCTGGTAAATGGCTTTTGGGTTGTAACAACAACAACAAAAAAAGTAAATCTAGCAAGACTGACATTTGCCCTCCCCCTTTTAGAATGTCTGCAGAAAGTGTTTCACTAATTACAGATACCAATAACAGCTTATAATATATTCTGCACAGAAAGCTATAGGTATTTATAAAACTAAATGCACATAAATGTTATTTATATGCATTTATGCATAATTAGCCAGAACAAATGCGCTATATAAAACAGGCTATCAAGACAGGATGAACAGAAACCTGATTAGATAAAAAATAGATTCTATATATAATGTATGCTGGAATACTTCCTAACCCCCCCTAGAAGTCTTTTTCCTTTAAATGTTTTCCACAAAAATTACTAGTTGGGAGGATACAGCTTTTCCTCCCTTTGGACATGGACTTTTGCCTCCATTAAAATGAATTTGCATGCAAAAATGTATCTCTGGGAGCAATCCCCATGTGTATTGACAGCCAGGGGGGTGTACCCATTGAGGTGTTACACTGGGGGCAGAGTGACGCAGGTTCTAGTCCATCCTCCACCACAGCAGTTCACTTAGTGACTTTGGGCCAGTCACTCTCTCTCAGCCCAACTACCTCACAGAGTTGTTGGGAAAAATAGGAAGGAGTCCTATGTATGCCTTGAGCTTCCAAATGAAAGGCAGGATATAAATAAAAGACAAACCTTTTATTTTCATGAAGCATACATGGTGTCCTGCCCCATTATGGAGTTCAACAGAAACTATCTAGTTTCTAAATGGCAGTTAATGAGTTCATCATCTACATAACCCAATCCAATCCATGTTGCTTGCATATGTATAGATGAAATTTAATATGCATTTATTGGGCATAAGCTCCACTGAAAATGAGATATGCTTCTGACATGTACAGAATAGTACTCTTAAATAAATGAAAGAAACTATTCCTAAGTGACTATGGATGAGACTGTTATCTTAATTTTGGTATTATACATAACCCACACTTGTCTTGTCTATTTCATTTTGTGGGTTCTTTTTAACTATTTTTTTTAGTTTACTGTAAACACCATAGAGAACATATTTGAAAAAAAAATAACTTAAATGAAATTTCAACATTCATGATATATAATTTTAATTTTAAAGAAAACAAGCAACAGTAATTTTTAGTAAACATAAATACAAAGAAAAGGAAGCCAGTTTCAGAACAAGTAGTCAGGCAGAAATATAACTTTTTTAGCAACACAGAATACTGCTGAACGTACTTGAACCTGCATCAGTATAATAGTTACTGTGATGACATTTCAAAAAAGCTACAATTTGCAAAACCAGAAATTTCAGAAAGTGGGCATAACCCTAACTCTGTAGCTCCTCTATGTGAGAGAAATATTTATTGGACAAATCAAAAGAAAACAATAGTACATGTTTGTAAGAAGAGGAGGCATCCAGCCATTCCATCACAAACGTAAATCTATTAATCTTTTTTCCCCACTTCTGCTTCTCAGTACCACATTCGATCATAAGCAATCTTACAAGCTGCACTGGTGGAACGTTAGCATGCCAAACAGAAATGGAATAATTTAAAAGGAAGATAATGAAAAGAGTAATTATAATTAAAGAACCCAGTTTTCAGTATGATGATTACCAAAACATTTTTGAAGGGTAAATGTTTGCCTAAGAACCAACACGCACAAATTTAGTATGCATCTGTGCACATGTGCAAAGGCTGCTGCAAATTGCTCTACAAACATGAATTATTGCAATCAACATCTTGTTTTCTTGTTCTAAATGTAAAAGACTGCAAAATTAACACCGTACTAGTAACTCATGCTATTAACATCCTAACAGATGAAGTTTGATGCTTATAAAACCTACTTGCCAGATGGATTGATAATAGAAAGTAAAAGAAAAAAAGAACAAGAGAACAGTGTCCAGACTGAAAGGTACAGTATCTAATTCGGTCTAAAAATTTACCTGAATTTTGAGGGAAAACACTCAGATCTTGAAAATGTTCATATGATCAAAATAACAAATTGTAATTTCTTTAATTACAATAAGGAAACCAAATGGAGATATGAAGACAAGAAAAAATACTGTCATATTTTTAAAAGAATTATATTATTATACTATGTTCTGCTTTTCCTCTGAACATTCAAGGCAGAGTCTCCCATGATTTTATCCTCACAAAAACCCTGTGATATAGCATAGGGTGAGTGACAATGAGGGGCCAAAATCACCAGTAAGTTCCATGGTTAAATGGAGACTTACTTTCCTTGGTCCTAATCAATACCATATCCAGGTAAAATATTAGAGGTTGTAATTCATTTCAGTGAAGCTCTTCTGCAAATGGAATAGCCTATTTCCTCCCCTCCCTCCCTCCCTCCCTCCCTCCATGCAATACAGCAGTGAGAAATGTAAAACGCTAAATGGGAAAATACCAGTGAATCCAATCCAATGATTAGGCTACAGAGAAACAAAACAGAAGTAGATCTACTGACTTTTTCTTTCTCAAACAGTAGATCATCTTGTGTTTTATTACTTTTGGAAATGTTTTTATTTTCAAGTGAGATTTCCTATGCACATGCTGTTATTTCTCAATGATATTCACTTAGAAATAGTCATATGGCTTTGTATTAGAGAAAATTAAACTTACAGGAAGCTTTCTCCAGACTAGAGGAGGTTTAAGGAAATTTTATGTACAACCCTTTTGAAAGTGATACAAGGCTAAAGAACAAGTGGGGAAATTGTTGCAATCGAGATGTATTCTTTTGTTTTATGAAACCAAATAATTTCAATCAAAGGTGACTAAATTAAACATTTGCACATCCCTGTGCTTATAAAAATTGATAATTTGGATATAAATGCACCATCAATTTATGATTTCATTATTAAGTTCTCCTTCTATTTAATATGTGCAGATCAAAGAACCTTACCACTGTCCTGCCTTAAAAGTAAATTCTTTATCCATCACTGCCAAACGGAGTCTTTTAACCATTTCAGATTCATTGTTGATGCCACACACTTTTGCTTTAGAAATAATCTAAAAAGACAAAAACCATCATCATTACTACCACCACTATTTCAGGAAATAAACACAAAATTCAACAGAGAAAATATCTGTTTCCAGATCCTTCCAGGCACGCAATACCAATAGTGAAGTGGGATAACTATGATTTCCACTGGCTTCTTATACAGCAACTACTATTAGATAGACTGCAATCCCTTCACATTTACACAAATTTTAAGTTCTAATCTCACTGCAGGTAATGAAGATGAGTCCTTAACAAGACTAAGAGTTAAAAAATAAACAAACACTAGGCTTGTTTTATTTATTTACTCATTCATTCATTCAATTTCTATGGCTACCCCCTCACATATGACTCTAGGCAACTTCAGAAGATTAGAACCAAACAGTATAATCAATTAAAAGACAGTAATAAAAATGGCCCTCCTCATGTTTGGCTATAGCTCTTTTAGCACAGAAAAATATCTATACATTTCAAGATCTCTACATCACTCCCTTCCTTTATAGCAAAGATTAGCAATCTATGGCCTATTTGTAGCCCCAGTTCCAATTTTTGTGCTTTTAAAAGAAATATATGGGCATTAAGTCTCAAATAAACTTAATACACCTATTTATTTAACCCCCAAAAGACTAAAAAAAGAGGTTGAAAATTCTGATCCAGCCTCTTCTAACCCCATTTCTGGCATGCCTTTTGCAGCTTTCAGGTTTAAAAAAAAGTTTAAAATGCAGCTCTTGCTGCAAAAACATTGCTGTTTTCCTCCACTGGCAGGGAGGAAAACAGTGAAATCATGATTGAATGAAAAACATAACTCTAAATAACCACAGATAAAACATTAAAGCAAAAGAAAATCCCATTGTTATGTTTTATTAGACATTTATAACATTGCTCCCTCTAGGACCCCCCATCTCCTGCCCCCCTCCAATTTTTCTGACAGCAATGTTACAAGGCAGATTGGATGACTGTCTCAAGACCAGCTACAAGCTTCATGGCTGGGTGGGATTTGAACACAAATCTTTTCGAACCTAGCCAACAATAGCTTTCATATAACTTCTAATCAGTCCCTTGATAAAATTTGGTTTTCTTGATTTCTGCAGTGTTTCCTCTGACTTTTATAGTATGGCAATCAACTCACAGAACTACCATTTGGAATTGTTTGTTAAACTACAGAACATATTAATAAACTGGAAAACAAAACCCTAAGGTTCTTAAAATAAGTCATGCAGGTCCAAAAGGATAGAATATGTTAAAATGATAAACTATATCAAACTACAATTATGAGTATATCATTTCCCAGCCAGAAGGACTGAAGTCCAATGAATGAAATTTAGCCAACTATGTCTTAATTTAAAACATATGGCAGGAAATGAATTTCTGAATAAAAATAGTTGAACATTTCTACCGTCCTGTAAAACAACAGGATGCTTGCCAAGTAAATGCTAGCATACTTTTTCTTATTTTAATAGACTTATTTTTTTAAGGAAAGTTATATTAGTTAATTAGTCCTGCTTCCATGATGCTTGCATAATGTTTTCTTTAACAAAGAAACCCCAGAGTAAGAATAAGTCTAGCCTTAATATCTTCACATCAACTTATAACTAACTTCTGAACCAGATATTGCATACAATATTGTTACAGAAAAAGGTGATACCCTTTTGGTTTTGTAAATAAACTAGATCACAAAAATGTTTATTTATTTGATTTATATGGCTGCCTATCTTGCCAAAGCAACTCTGAATGTCAGAAAATATTTTTGTTCCCACAATTTCCAAGAATTCTAAGCAAATGTGCAGCTCAATACAGCTCAGTTGTTCCCATTGATTTGTCCTGCCAGTAGGAGCAGCTAAACAAATGTGGGAAGTGTTTTGCTTACTGTTAATGTGCAAAGTGAGAACTATGCCTAAGTACTCTCCTGACAACCCAGAGTCATAAGCCATAAGAGAAACTAGCCAGAGTTCCTACTTTGGATATAACCCTTAGTTAGTTAGCTATCCAAATGTATTTAGTCACTCCCACTAACAGGAGAAACCAAGTAGAACAAACTGAGTATCATGTACCAGAACACCGTTCATTCATAAGGTGTAATATAAATGTTAAAGCAGGAACCACAATCATGAGAAATATGATTCTTTAAATTTTGCTGCTTAATAAGGCAAGGTCTCAGACTGAGGAGGCAAAACAAGCATACAGGGAACTTGTAAGCCAGCATGCTCACTCATCCTTCCTCTTAGTACGCTCAGAGTTGGTGTGCAATCTGGGGGACCTCCTGGATTCATGGCTCCTGCTTGAAGAGCAGGTGGCAGCTGTGGCCAGAAGTACCTTTTACATAAATACAACTTATGCAACAGTTGCACCCATTCCTAGGTCAGGAGACACGGCTTATGGTCACTCACATCTTACTTACCTCCTAATTGGACTACTGCAGTGTACATGGGACTGCCTTTGAAAGGCATTCAGAAGCTTTAGCTGGCCCAGAATGCAGTGGCATGTGCAATATTGCATACATTATGGTATGCCTACATAACACTATTGTGTGTGAACTGCACTGGCTCCCACCTTTAATGTCTTATGTGGCATGGAGCCAGGTTACTTGCAAGACCACTTCTCCCTGAGGGTTTCTGCGTGTCCCATCAGATCTGTTGGAGTGGGCATGCTCCAGTTCCCCTCAGTGAAGCTGTGTTACCAGGTGCGTCCTAAGAAGTGTGCCTCTTCTGTCATGGCACCGTCCTATGGAACAGTTTCCTCCACAAAGATATGGATGGCCCCAACCTTGCTAGTCTTTCAGAAGGCTGTGAAGACCTGGCTCTTCCCCCAGGCACCAGGGCCAGGCTGTTAGTTCTGAAGCTCTAGCCTGGATGTATGGTGGGGATGTCCTTTGAGATTCTTAACAAGAGGGCCTCAACCTGTGTTTTACAACTGTCAATGCTTTATTGTATACTTTATGTTTGCCATTCAGACTGTTGATGGATAGATGGGTGGCCTAATAAGTTTGATAAATAAATAAAAGGTGAAACAATCAGTACTGTTACATCCTGTATCATCTGGAAACAACATCATACAATGCTCTCAATTCCTTTTTTATTTTAGCTAGATTTTTTGTGTCAATGCCACTTATTTATATAATGACATGCCATGTTTAATAAACTGTTCTGGAATTTATTTATTTATTTTCAGGATATGGCTGCTATTTCATACAATGACTCTAGGTGGCTTATAACAATCCATAAAACATACTTAAAAACATATCCTTCCCCCAGGCACTAGACCAAACATCCTTACAACTCAACCCTCCATCCTAGCCCAACGCTTGGGGGAAGAGCCAGGTCTTCACAGTCCCCCAGTAGGCTAAAAGGTAGGGATCCCTCTGTTGTCTGGTGGCAGGCTGTTCCAAAGGACTGGGGCAGTCACCAAGAAGGCATGCCTCTAAGGTCCCATCAGATGGCAACATTTAAGGGAGGGGACCTGGAGCATACCTACCCTATCTAACCTAGTAGGATGGGTAGATACCCTCAGGGAGAGGCAGTCCCACAAGTAACCTGGGCCCTGTGCCATGTAGAGCTTTAAAGGTGATAACCAGCACCATGAATTGCACCTGGAAAGCAACTGAAAGCCAGTGCAGCTCACACAGCAGTGGTGTTACTCAGGTGAACCGCAGGACACCCAAAAGTGCATGTGCCACTGCATTCTGGCCCAGCTCCAACTTCTGGATGGTCTTCAAGGGCAGCAAAGTGCAAGTGCAAAGTGCACTGCAGTAAGGTAACTAAAGCATGGGTGACTGTGAGCAAGTTACAAGGGTTTATTTATTTATCAAATTTGTATAGCTGCCCATCTCACGGAAAAGTGACTCTGGACAGCTTACAACAATTATAGATGGAAAAAAGTGATTATAGAGAAGGATTAAATTATTTTCAAACTTATCTAATACCTTCACCGCACATAGTACATTTCAGGCTCATATACTACAATACCAACCTCATGCCGAAAGTCATTTGCTGTTCTCTCCAGGTGGTCTGACTTTCTTCTGGATTTCATTTTACTATAAATAAGGCAAGCTGAGATGTATCATTACTCAATATAATTTTACAGGTTGAGCTCGTCATTAAAGACCCTTTTAAATAGTAACTTCAGACTCATTTAACTTTAACCGTGATATCATAAGAATGATGTCCCTTGAACTGACAAAAATCCATCTCATCCATGTATTGTTTTCAACAGCAATTAAAAAGTGTTACTTGGAGAGTAAAAAACAAGGCATATAGCCATGAGAATACTGTTAGTGCCTAGTATCTAATACTTAGAAGTACACTGCTTCTGAATAAGGAAGCTTTGTTTCATCCACTACATTTTCTAATTCTTTTAAAGTAAAGCAAATCCTCTTGACCCAGTTTATATATATGAAGCAGAATGAGGTGGTAGAAGAGAAAATCTCTGTCTTCAATCAAGCTTAGGTACTATTTTAATAATTTCATTAAGTTATCAAAAAGGGCAATACTAGTCCTTGTTCAGCTAATTACTGGTTTGTTTTTCTTTTTCTAAGTAGTTCTTACCTTGTACTGTTGTAGAAACTATGGGCTGGATCATAAGAACAAACCAGAAAAGAATCAAGGAATGTCAAACAATATACATATCCATATCAGTCTAAGCCACAATTGCAATCAGTAATGTAACAAGCCATGGTTTCAAAATGTAGTTTATTGCTCTGAAATCAAATACTGTAATTGTTTATGCACTGACTTATTGCCACATCAAGTGAAAAAACAATCCATAGCTTAAGACATAATACATGCACTCAGTCAGTATTTCGAATTGTAGAGTCCTTGGGGTTCTCTGAGCTTGGTTGTTTTCTTGCAAATGTTTCATT